CAAGGAAGCTTCTGGAACTGTGCCTGCTTTGCAATTCTATTCCCATTTGATCTTATCCAAGAGTGCCTTCTTTGTAGAATGTCACCATGGAGACTTGATCAAACTCATGCTCATGCACTTAATCTTGCAATCTGTTGCTGAATGGCTGATATTCCTTCTTAGGCCAAAGCACAGCAAGTTCGTAAATGAATTTTTGAAGGAAACAGAGCCTGCGGACAATATGTTTAACCCAAGTGTGGGATGCGGCCCTTTAGTAATACACAAGATTAAACCTGTTGTTGAATAACACAACTCAAGATGTTTAAATTAAGGCTTGGAAAAAGGACAATCTGGTATGTTAACTCCTCTGCTGCTTGTCAAATTTTTCCAAGTTTGTTTCGCTCAACACATATTTACTGAGGCAGGTAAATACCTTGAACCTTGACCATGGAGATATGAAGATGATTAAGATATCAACTTTGGCCCCAAAGAGCTCAATATCTGGCTGGGGACACAGAGAAGTAAGCTAACTATATAATGTCATACATGCTATAACAAAGCTGCCTGGGGAAAAAAAAAATGAAAGGAAGGAATAACTAAATCTTTCAAATGAAGGTAGAGAAGGTGAAAAGAGGACATTACAGAAGGCTTCTTAGATGAAGTACCGTTTGAGGTTGGTCTTAAAGAGTGGATTCACAGGAATTCAAAAGCGGAGGGCGGGGAAATGAAAACACCACCTAACAAAGGTCTGGAAGAATCACAGGGACAAGGTAGTCAGGAAACACAATGATCTAATGGGATTAGTATGTAGACCTTGGGATTTGCAGGGACTGGTAGCATCGGGGATGGAAATCTGAGCTGGATATAGGACGTAAAGGCTCTGTGTGCCATATTTGTGCCTGTTTACTCAATGTTGTAGCAGTGGTGACAGTTGAATCATAAGCGGAGTTCAGAATATGAATGGTTTTATTAGGACTCTGAACTTCAAATTGAGCCTAATGAGGGTTCTTTGTTGGGCTTTTGGCAAGGGAAGGGCATGATCGGATTTGGGTTCTACCAAGCTCCTTTTCCTTAGGGTGTGAAGAAGAGATTTATTGCAGAACCGAGGGGGTCCAGGCAAAACTAGAGGCAGAGAGGCAATCAGGAGGTTTGCATAACCCCCTAGGCAAGAGGCAGAAGGTTTACAGAGGAGGAGCAAGGGGGAAATTTTCCATGTGGAACCAGATCAGACTTGACTGAGATAGGATTAGCAGGTTTTAGTGAAGTTTGAAGGGGAGGGGTGATGAATAAGTTCTAGCCAATGGGAATGTTTTTCAGAAGACACACGGGACAATTCTGCTTCGCTGAAATGTGAGACACGTGCACGCTTAGGAGCGCTGTAGGCTGGGAAAGGTCAGCTCTTACTGTGGGCAGCCGCGTGACCCCTGCAGTAGGTGTGCATCTGTAATGGGGGTACAAAGCAATCTTTACCACCCACACCTGCTATACTATTATTTCTCCTGGAGACTGTGAACGCCTCAGACAGGATCACTTAGTATTGTTTTTGCAGTACCCAACAGGCCTGACACAGAACAGATACTTGATACATGTTGCAATGAAACAATCTTGCTGTTGCTTAGACAAGTTTCCTGCTCTTTCTCTGAGCCTGGCTTCCTTGGATTCTTGTACCTTCCACGTGCTCACACCTATTCCTGTCAATTCCTGCCTTTCCTTCACCGAGGATCAGCTCAGGATATTGGCCATACACTACTCAGGATGCGGCCCACTTCTATTTTCATTATAAAAACTGGGTGCTTGCATTTTTGGGCAAGCTCACCTTTTTGAAAACTGGAATTTTATTAGAACCGCCCCAAGTGTGCAGGATAAATAACAGTTTAAGGCAAAACTCGAGGCAAGATGGTAGTTTTGGTGATTTCTCCAGCGTCCAAATATATAATCCGGATTTAGCTAGCAAGACAAAGAAAATGGAAAAAAATATATGGGAGGATAGAAGAAGCAGATTGACTGGAAATGTGCTAACAGAGGGAAAAGAATCAACAATGATTTTGAAACTGGAAGCCTAGAAGAAATGTGTAGCAATGGCAGAAATGTGAAAAAAAGCCCAAAGCTGGGAGGTGTATAAGGAGATGGGAGTTGGAGTGTGATGTGGCAGAAATATGACAAAGCTAATCCTTATGGGTTACTGGATTTCCATCCTTTCCCAGAAAATAAACATATCTGAGTGACCATACTGAAAATGTGGCAATGAGTTAATCAATAGTTGAAGAATTTTTACGAAGTGAAATGAGATCATTCATATATTTTAATTCAAAGTAATAGTTTCACACCCCACTTAGATTCAAATTATCCATAATCCACTTATGACTCCTGTAGAGGGACATTTACTTAAATGTTAGTAGAAAACAGGATTGAGTGAAGTTTTCATCCCTCAAAATGGATATTTCATTTCAACTTGATGTGATCAATACCACACCGGGGAAATGGTAAAATTTGTGAGTGGTGAAATCATAATTCAAACTTCTTTTAAGAAGAGAGACAGTTAAGACAGGACTCCTTACACCTGCATAGTAACCCAAAACCTAAACCCGAAATTTGCCCAAGTTCACGAAGCAAATCAATCAGCTCCGGCTTTGAGCAAGGTAGGTTTAGTTGTGAGGAGTTAAATGAACTAGCTAACAAACAAGGGCTGTCACTCTCACCCATCCACCCCCATTTTTTTACACCCATGTAACTTTTTAAAAAAACATGATGATATTGACCAGTCCTTTGAGTTTTTAAAGAAATAGTTGAAACCGTTATATATGGAGACACAATAAATAACCCTCACTCTCTTGAACTTCTGGAAATAGCTAGAGACATTCAAATCCAAACATTACCCTCTCCCCAAACTACATATTGAGTGGTAATATTTTCTACACGTTCTTTTAATTTCACCAGAGGTTACACATTATGGTCCCCCCCTTTAATATTTATGGATAATCCTTTTCTTTACCGACAGATGTCTGAAATAAGAGATTGGAATGAATCTATCTATCTATCTATCTATCTATCTATCTATCTATCTATCTATCTTCCAAGCAAGCACAGAACAATGGGCAAAGCACAAATATGTCAATCAAAAAATGAATAGTTCACACCTCTGTTTTAATAGGTTATCTTCAGGGGTACTGGGTGAGTCTTGAAGCAGGTGACTGAGAAAGTGTGTACCTTGAACTAGAAGGGGTCAAGGAAAGCTAGAACAAGCCCAGCACCACAGGGCTGACAAATGAGGACGACAGAGTGAAAGTGGCAGGTTCAATACAGTATTCTATGAGCAGTCAGTATCTAGACGATGGACACCGTGAACGACGAACAAGAAGCGATTACAGTCGGGGGGGGCCCTCCAAAAGAAAGGGATGATGCTGGAGTCATCTCACATTCAGAAATGTAGATGTTAACTATCCAAGATAACGCTCTGGCTGTTCCTACTTCTGAAGCACTGTGCTAACTAACTTCCTTTCTACCCGCCCACAACGGCATTTGAAACTCAACTACAAAATGTTAACACTTTTTTTTTTTGGGGGGGGGGGGGGGCGGGAAGAAATGTTTTTCATCTCGGTGATAATCTGATTCAAAACACTGGATCCTTTAATTGAAAGATGCACCTTACATCTGCTTTCCAGCCTCACAAGGCCACCCCGCAGGACCCAACTCCACAGACTCTGAGTCACGGAACTCTTAATCTAGGTTTCCTCAACTGTGTGCTCAGCCAGAGGTTTTTAGTGCTCAGAGTAAAATGACCTGGCAGACAACTAAAAATCCCAATGCTCAGACACACCCCATTTTCGATTAAATCAGAATCTCTGAGTGGGATCGAACATGCATACGTGTCTGTTTTTAATAACTCTTCGGGTGATTCGGCAGCAGCAGCCAGGTTTGAGAACCAACTCCACTGTTATATTTTGACACGCGAGATCATCTGCGTGTTCTAGGGTGCTTAGCTGTTTTTAATCACTGCGTCAAAAGCCTACAGATGGGCACCTGTCGCGAAATAATTTATAACAGTCGTCTTAGAAAAAACCAAAATCCAGGCCAGGGGTGGAGCATACCTTCTTACCGGGTTTCCCCGGTCAAAAAAAAGCAGATGCGGTTCGCCAAGGGCACCCTCCCTCCCCGCTCGGCCTGGAACGCCTTCCGGTGCTGATCGCACACCTACAAAAGAAGCCGGGCCTCCTCCAGGTGACATCCTGAAAGAGAGCCGATCACCCCGCCCCTTCAGCTTTCCATGTGTCCCCGCGCCGGCAGCCACCGGCTCAGTCCCTCACCGGCCGGTCTGGCAGCAGTGGAGGTGGTGGCAGTGGCTGGAGGCTTCATGGAAATTGTTCGCTGCTCCTCTCGCGCCCAGCCCTCCTCCCTGGTTCTCACAGCCCACTTTGGCTCAGGAGGAGCACGCAGGGGAGGCGCGGGCTACAGCCACTCCACTTTGCTCTCTCCCGCCCGGTGGCCCCATGGGAGGCTGGTGAGTGCTGAGCAGGGAACCTCCTCGCCGCCTCCTCCTCTGCCCAGCTGCCCGGCTGCCGCAGTCCCTTTATGGTGTTGGAGTGGAGAAGTGGGCTCCAGTCCGGGAGGCGGCAGTGGGCTGCGGCGCTGGGCAAGCCATAAACTCCAGCTGCCGGGGGCCCGCCCCGGGCACCTCTGCGAGCCCAGGCTCAGCCAAGCCAGGGGACCTCCGCGAACAGCAGCACCGCCCTCGCCTCCTGCAGCCACTCACGCTAAGAGCTACGATGATCATGAGCTCCTTTCTCCTGAGTAGCATGGGGGGGAATAGCCAGGGGGCAGCGGGCGCCTGGGAGCCCAAGGCACCCGCGCCTTGCTTCAGGAGGAGGCAGGGCAGCGGGTCCCCAGGCCCCGGGAGACACTGCCAGGGGGCTGGTCCCCGCCCGGATGGGTGGGGGTGGGGGTGGGGGTGGCGGAGCGTGCAGGCCGAGGGGAAGGTACCCGGGTCGTCTGGGGGAGCCACCGGGCTCAGCCGGGACTCTGGAATGAAGGCGAACTGTTTTCCTCGCGGTCTGGCTGCGCTGGAGGAGGCGCTAGAGGTGGCCCCCCGGCTTCCTGCGCATTTCGGGGCTTTTCCCGCACCTCGGTCCCCATGTGCCCCCTACCCCCTCCACACACCGGCACAGGCACCGGCCGCTGAGCCCTCCGCGTGGCGTGGGGCGGGGGCTGCGTGGCGGGGCGCCGGGGGCGGCGGCCGCCGCTGTGCTGCAGCTGCAGTGTCGTGTCGGGATGCTACCGCAGTGGGAGAGCGGTTCCGGTGCGCCCCGGCCGCCGGAGACCTAGGTGCGTCCGCGCGGTGCCTTCCCGAGCGGCGCGCCGGCCGCCCCTCCCCCACCTCTCCTCCGCGCCTCGGGTGGGTCGCAGTTTCTGCGTGCCAAAAAAAGGACCCTTAGACCCGCTGTCGGGCGCCTCCGAAGCGCCGGCTCCCAGCCAGCCAGCTCGCTGCCACTTGAGTGGGGGGAGGGGGAGAGACCCACATAAAGGAAGATGAATTGCTCCAGCCTTTCCTATCGCTCGCTTACCTGCGGCCAGGCAGGTGACCCTGCAAAGGGGAGCAGGTTCGTTCTTCACCCGAGCCGCATTCAGCCTCCAGGGCGTGCCCTGGACCTAGTCCTCCTTCGCTTACCTGGTCAAAGCCTGAAATCACCCCTTGACCTAAAACTTATCCTCAACTTCCCCAGATCCCTTCCCCTTTCCAAATGTTAGAAGGGAGGGGGCGAGTCAGGTGGAAGAAAAATTGAGATCAAGCCCTTGAGCCACCATAAGCTTCCCATGCCTGTCTTTTTGTCTCTGGAGGGAGGACAGAGATTCTTAGCTGAAACCCAAACAAAAACAAAAGACAAGAGCCTATTTTCATGGCTGGGCTGTGTAAGGGAAAGGCAGGCTCGCTGTCTCCTTCCCGAAAAGGGCTTAATGGCTGGTTAGCCAAGATCTCTTAGATCCCAGGGCATTGCAGTTGCTATGGCCTGGGAATTCATCCTACAGACGCTCTGGTTCCCTGTGTGAGTGTAGGTCTTAAGGGGAAAAGAGAAAAGTTTGGTGCTGTTAGCATTTATAATGAGGCAAGTCCCAGTCTCCTTTCAGCGTCTTTTCTGCCCATTAATAGTAATGGCAAAGTCAAGATCTGTATCCTTGAAACAAGTGGGAGGGATGCTGAGCATAAGGGGGTGGGGATGGGTGTCTCTTCAAGCAGTGGACCTGGGTTGACAGTGTTGGTGTGGAGAGAAACCCATCGCGGCCCATGGGAACACTGACCCTAACATCAGTGGAGTTACATCAGTCCTTGAATTTCTCCATGCTCCTCTACCCACCACATGCCTGTTGGTCCCTCTGACATATCTGATTATTACATGCCGCACACAGTCCTTGCCTCGGTTAAATCCTGAGTCCGTGTGATATTTCATTCATTTTACATTTGAGCATGAGATAGGTGTTTAAAGGAAGGTCTCCACATAATGAAAGTGTCTCCACTGCTTTGACCATCAGAGAAAGAACCATGCTCCTTTTCTGAAATCGTTAAACTCAGTTTATCTAAAAATCGTGCCCTGGATTTGCAACGAAAGACCTGAGAATTCAAGTGTAGCTGTCTTTTTTAAAAATGAGATTTATAGGGGGGCTTAGAGGCTATCTCAGGCTGTTAACTCAAGTGAGAGTCCTTATTTTCCTGGCAACTAATTTCAGTCCATGAAATGGCTTGGGGTTGACCCAGTTGTCCTGAGGGTGACCGAGAGGGTGTACCAGGGGTCACCAGGGATTTTGCTCTAACACCCAACGAGGTGATGTGTTTTATTTTTTTCCCATCCCCACTCTGCAAGCCCAGTCCTCAGGATAGGCATTGCTAATGTGTAAAATGATGATCTCATGATATTGGTATAGGATTATTTATCCCTTTGGAGTTCTTAGCCATGTGAAAATGGCAGACACAAGGCACTGGAGCCCAGCGAACCATGGCAGGTGCCCAGAACACTCGTGGGGGAAGTGGGGAAGTTAGTGTTCTACCCACATATTGCAGTTAGATTAAAAAGGAGTGCACTCAATAAAATATTCTTTTTATTATGGCTTTCAGTTACTCTAGTTTTTCAAATATCTTCTTTTTATGACTATAATTGTTATTGTCATCATTTAAAAAAATTTTTTCTGGGCGCCTGGGTGGCTCAGTCGGTTAAGCGGCCGACTTCAGCTCAGGTCACGATCTCGAGGTCCGTGAGTTCGAGCCCCGCGTCGGGCTCTGGGCTGATGGCTCAGAGCCTGGACCCTGTTTCCGATTCTGTGTCTCCCTCTCTCTCTGCCCCTCCCCCGTTCATGCTCTGTCTCTCTCTGTCTCAAAAATAAATAAAACATTAAAAAAAAATTAAAAAAAAATTTTTTTTGTAATGTTTGTTTTTGAGAGAGAGACAGAGCGTGAGTGTGGGAGGGGTAGAGAGAGAGGGAGACAGAATTCTGAACCAGACTCCAGGCTCTGAGCTGTCAGCACAGAGCCCGACGCGGGGCTCGAACTCATGAGCTGTGAGATCATGACCTGAGCTGAAGTCAGCAGCCCAAATGACTGAGCCACCCAGGCACCCCATTATTGTCATCATTTTTGACACTGTTTTTTCGGGATGACAGGCTAACTGTATGAAAATCTCATATCTCTTTAATAAGCTTTAAAAAAAACTTATGATACCTACATAACGTACAATATCACATATATATATAAGTCACATATATATATAAAGTCAGGTGCTTTATATACCGTATCTCATTTACTCCCAACATCTCTGCAAAGCAGGTGGTGTTATGCTTATTTTACAGATGAGGAAACCTAGGGCTGCAAAAACTTCATTGGTTTGTGCTGGGCCACACAGCCCGTTAGTGATGGCACTCGGGCCGGGACCCAGCAGCGCCTGACTCCTCGGCTCGTACTCTTGCTCACTCCTGTGCCACTTTACCCATTTCACAACTCCAGATTGCTAGACGATGAAGTGTAGCAACCGAAGGCTCACCGGAGGAAAGTTGAGACTGGTGGTTTGGTTTGTTGCAGAGTATTAATGAGGAATGTAAACCAGAAACTGAGAGATGAAATGTTATGTGTTCCAGGCCGAAAGTCTGGAGAGACGTGAGGCTTTGAAGTTTGTGCCGTTGTTAAGGAATGCCCTACAAGGGCATGCCCAGTAGGTAGGACACACTCACAGGGGTCTCCTGCTCTCAGGGAGCTTGCTTTGACCGGAAAGATAGAATGTTGGCAGGGAGGCAGTCAGAAGAGAAGGGAACCGTAATGGATAAGGAAATGAGGCCTGAAGTTTTGGAAACTGCTATTCTGATCATATTACGAATTCCAGATAGAGGGGCGTTCGTTCTAGGAGCCTGTCCAGCCGTGTGCCGGCCTAGAAAGTACCAAGTAATGCCAGGGTCATTGAGACTGGATGTCTAGCTTCGTGTCACCTCCTGCCCTGCGCTTATTGAAGTTAATCATCTAGCTTCTTGGCACTTGACTTTGCCTATTGGGCTAGGCATGCCTGGAGTGGTCTGGTGGGGCCTGAAGTCCTGAAGCACTTGATGGCAAGTTCAAGTAGAACTCTGAATCAGAGCTGGTATTATATCCAAAAGATTTTCTCCTTTCTTTAATATAACTTCCAAATCGTAGAGTGGGAAAGTGGCAAGGGAAAGCTGGAGGGAAGACAAGAGCCTAGATTAGGGGAATCGATTTCCTTTCCATGTTAGCAAACCTACTCTGAGCACCTGCTCTGAGAGAGGCGCTGTACTAGGCAGTGGGAACCCAGGGATGAGTTAGGATTTGGATCTTGCTCCTCAGGCACGGTTTCTGTGGTATGTAAAATGCACATGGCTATCAGTAGGGCTGATATGGAGTCCGTGGATGAATGTACTCAAAGTAATACACAACGTGTGGTTGATGTTAAAATCTTTAGACTACTTTAAGTGACTTTGGCTTGTTTAGTTTGAAAGCCAGCAGAAGAAAAACCTTGCCAGGTCTCAGAATAACCTACATTAGCACTGGTAGGGGAAGTGACTTATAATCGGAAGAATAGGGAGGGCCGACTTGTACTGGAACGCAGGATTTCTGACTTACCCCGTGAATCTCCCATCCCCCTTGTCAAAATGTGTAGAATAGGATCAAGCTTTCTCAATCTGCACTGTTTCCAAAGGCATATGGCTGAATCTGCCTCAGGTTCAGTCCAAAACAAACAGACAAAAATCTACTGTAAAATAAAATACACGGGCAAACCAGATCAGCAAGAAAAAAATTCCTTGTGGAAAGTACACTACCTTAAGTTAAAGGAAAAAAACCTGAGACTAAATAGACACAGATCACCAACTGGCGAAATTATACGTGTTTTAGTGTGGCTAAATTTGCACAAAGGCTACCGAGCTGGATGTGGTCCAAACAGTTAATGCCCTCTTTTCCAGGACAGGTTGAAGAAGGTGACTTTCTCCAGGTATGTCTTATTGGATAGAGGCAAGTAGGCGTGGCTTAAGGGGCTCTCTAACAGGTGATCTGTGTACTTTCTGCACTGTAGATCCGAATGTGGAGACATCCCACTTCAACTCTGCCTTTGAGTCCATCTGTGAAAGTGAGGGGTGAAAGTGAGTCTTTGGTGACTCCATTGACAAGCTGCAAATTGGTTTTGTACTCCACCCGCTCTTTATAACGCATAATTGGCTTGGGTAAACCTGATCAATCGATCGATTGATTGACTGATGCCAGGAAATAGTCAGATCGCCAGACTATTTAGGAGCAAGTATGAATTGAGTGACTTATCACTGCATAAATGGCAACGTCTATTTTCCAGTAAGCACTAAATGCTGTTGACCCTCTTCCCCCCCAAACAGGCCTGGCAAATTCTGCTGAGGCCAAGTCACTGGCAACTTCCTGGAAAACTCAGATGCTTCTGCTCTGTGACTGGAGGAGCCTAGGGTATGTCATCGCCTTTGGGCATGTGCCCAATGACCATTTGAAGCAGATTCAGTCCGGGCCATCAGGCACAGATATGTGTGTTTGATGGAATGAAAACAGAAGCCTTAATAGGAGTCAACTTGTTCCCCCAAATTGGATCCGTGTTTAGCATTAGCAGGACACTGGGCTTTGTTGCTGCCGGGGTAGCAGCTGCTGAGCTTTGATTCTTTAGGAACTGGGGAGGGGGGCTAGATCATGAATAAATACTGGCTTTGTCCGAGTGTTTGTATTTGTCAAGTACCAAAAAATAAACAAGAGTCTGAAGTTAGCTTCTCTGCTGCCACCTGGCTTTCCTACCACCTCCCGTTTCCTGGCCTGAGTCCAGGGGAGAGGAACCCCGGGCAGAGGTATAACCAGGGAGGAGCTTGGCAGGTGTCAGTGAGTGTGTCCTAACCTTGGGGCTGCAGACAGGTGAGGCTCACTGATATTCAGGCTGTTGATTCAAACCCGTGGTTTCACGGATATTTACGCTTTTGACCTCACTCTTCCTGAGGGGTGGAGAGTCCTCCTGGAATGGTCCATTCTCCCTGGATTCTGGCTGTCCCCCCCCCCCCCCCGCCCTGATCAGCATCCCGGCCTTGTAGAGACCGATGCTTGCAGTGGAGGGAAAGTTTGCTCCAAGGGAGCTCAAGCAGGGTGAGAGTGGGCCGGGTGTAGGTGGGTAGTCAGGACACTGACCTCTATAGCCCCATCTCCTCTTTAGAAGATTTGGAAATTATGGGGGCGCCTCCGTGGCTCAGTCAGTTAAGCATCCAGCTTCGGCTTAGTTCACGATCTCACGTGGTTTGTGTTTGGGCTCCACATCGTGCTCTGTGCTGACAGCTCAGAGCCTGAAGCCTTCTTTGGATTCTGTATCTCCTTCTCCCTCTGTCCCTCCCCCATTCATTCCCTTTCTCTCTCTCTCAAAAATAAATAAACATTAAACAAAATTTAGGAGATTTGGAAATTCTGTCTAAGGCTTTGTTGCAAAGTAAAGAACAAAAGGAAAACAACAGAGAAGTAAGGGGGCTTTGTAAGCTACATCATAGCAGGGGCTCTTTCCCCGATCTTATATCATTTTCCATTTGCCTTTTCACCACCAGAACTGCTTGGTGGGTCATCCGCTTGGAGCTGTATGCAGATCTGTTTTGGGAGAAGGAACCTGAGTTTAATGGATTTAGGAGGCAGGAAAGGCTTGCATCCGTGAGTCCCAGAATCAAATGAGAGCAGCTGTGGATTCAAGAAGGCTTCTGCACCGAGAGCCCAGAGAGGAGGAATGTTAATGGCTGTTCATATTAATCACTGATGTGGATATTACTAAGCTCCTGTTTATTGACATTACCATTGACATCGTGTTGAATACCTTCTACAAATGATCTCAGTATATCTTACAAGTCTGTGATGTAGTAGCATTAGCCCCATATTATAAGTAAGGGATTGAGGTGTGAGAGAAGTTATGGTCAAGCAATTGGCAAGTGGCAGAGAGAATATTCCCATCTAGGCCATTGTGGCTTCGTACACAATGCTTTCTCGGCCAAGTTGTGGGTAGGGAACAAGTAACCTTCGGTTATTGGAATTTTGTTTCTCGTTAAGGGAATGATTTTACTTGAGAGTCGAACATTTCCCTTTCTCCCTGGCAAGCCATTCCGCCCTGTGATGGCACTAGGAAGTTTAGCCAGAACAGCTGATTATAAAGTAAGAGCAACCTGTGTGTGTGTGTGTGTGTGTGTGTGTGTGGACTGAAAGCGGACGGACGATGGTGCCATGGTTAGGATGGAAAGATATTCTTGCAAATTGAAATGTTATAACTAGGGAATGGATGCTTTGCTTTCCTACGCCTTGGGTCATTTTGACAAATATTTGCTTAGTGAGTAACGGTGTGACAGGGGTTCTGCTTAGCAAGTAGTTTTAACTCACTTTTCCGGAGAACTTGAGGACCTGGTAGGGTTTTCTTCGCTGCCAGCCTGGTTATTTGTGTAGGATTAGTGCATGGGTTTGCCTCATCTGTTAGTAGTATTTACTTCAGTAACTTTGCAGGTCTCTTAGAAACTGGTTGAACTCCATGATCTGCACGATCCCGTAAGTCATGTGTTTGTGTGTGGTTTCTGACACTCACTTTTAGCATTCTCTTAAGCGGGCTTTTAAACATATCTCTTCCTAGATTGTAGATGCTGAGTAGACTAAAGAAAGGCCAAGGATGAGGAGAAGTTTAACCATTGGTTCTGGGAAAGAGGTTGGGATTCTGGTTTCTCAAAGAACTCTTGAGACAAGACCATTATTTGATTTCATCCTAGGTACGGCCAAGTTGGCTTCACCAGGATTAAGAGAAATGGGCCGGGGAGGGAGGAAAAGATTCAAAGGCAAATGGTAACAGGTTTCCAGAATAATTTAACTGGTTATCATTCACTTTTTGCTCTTCCTTTACTTCTAGGAGTCCAGGATCTCGCTCTAAACTAACCATTCATTCTAGACAGGCTGGAGGGTAGTTGGGTCTTGAGCTGCATCTCAACACTTTGAGCTACAACTGAAGGGTATTTGAGTTATTAACAAAGGACATTTTAAACTTAGGCGAATCGGCAGACTTGAGGAACCAAGTGGGTATGGATTTCTCTTCCCAATTCATTTTTCTTCTCTGATATACACACATTTACGAGTCGTTAAAACTGATGTATACATGCTTGCTTGTATTCTGCTTTCCTTTATGCATCTATCTTATCTGACAGAGACATTTTCCTTCATTTAATAAATATTTACGGCGCCTTGCTAAATTGCACTGCAAAATGTCAGGCATTGCTAGACTTTGGGTGTAACAGTAAAAGGCCTTTCGTGGCCTCTTACTCCTTCCCTTTTGGAGTTCATAGTTTATTAGGGAAGACAGGAAGGGCGATGTCCTGAAAGAGCACAAGGAAGAGGATGCCAGTGAGAGGGAACAGCATGTAGAAGGGTCCAGAGGTAGGAAGGAGTCTACATGTTCAGAGTGTAGGCAGAACGCCATTGCAGTTGGTGCTCAGCGAGTACGGGCAAAGGGAGTGTGGGCTGAGGTTGAAGAGGCAGGCAGGGGTCAGGTTGGACAAGCCCTTTAAAGATGTGAACGTGTCAGGGTGTCGCTGGGCATACAGTTGTAAGCAACCTTGTAATATGATTTTAATGAGATTTCGTAAAAAAAATTTTAATGTTTATTTTTGAGAGAGAGAGAGAATAAGTGGAGGAGGGGCAGAGAGAGAGGGAGACACAGAATCTGAAGCAGGCTCCAGGCTCTGTGCTGTCAGCGCAGAGCCCGATGAGAGGCTTGAACTCACGAGCCATGAGATCATGACCTGAGCTGAAGTCAATTGCTAAACCAGGCGCCCCTTAATGAGATTTCTTTTAAAGATCACTCTGGCGGTTCTGTGGAGTAAGGCTTAGAAAGGGGACCTGTAGGGGCGCCTGGGTGGCTCAGTTGGTTCGGTGTCCGACTTCGGCTCAGGTCATGATCTCACAGCTCGTGGGTTCAAGCCCCGTGTCGGGTTCTGTGCTGACAGCTCGGAGGCTGGAGCCTGGAGCCTGCTTTGGATTCTGTGTCTCCCTCTCTCTCTCTGCCCCTCCCCTGCTCATGCTCTGTGTCTCTCTCTCTCTCTCTCAAAAATAAATAAACATAAAAAAAAAAGAAAGAAAGAAAAAGAAAGAAAGAAAGAGGACCTGGAGATACAGGAGGGCCAGTTGGATTCTTTTGCAGTTAGTTCAGGGGAAAGACTATGGTTCTGGGGTCGTGGCAGGGAAGATGGGGATTACTAGCTAGATTTGAAAGATTTTGGAGAGGGTTTACTGACCATGAGATGTGAGGGGGCAGGAACTGAAGGAAAGCATGACAGCTTTCACTCGGTCATCAAGCCGGACTCCCTGGTTCCTGAGTGGAGTCTTTGGTGGTCTGACTACTTTGAAGGGGAAAGCTGGGGGAGGGGTGGCTGGGCTCGGGAACCCAAAGTTTGGATGTGTGTTGGTCAGTTTGAGGTGCCTGTGGTTCATGCAGTTCAAGCCTTCCCGCCTGCCATTTTTAAATAGCCGTCTCTCCTCCGGTTGGCCATGTGTTGAGCCACCCTGCCGTTGGTGGACGCTTGGGTTATTGGCATTGCTCTGCAAGCGAGCAGCACTGATGAAGTTGTCTCTCTACAGACCAACTGCTCTTTTTCCTTTTGGGTTGTTCCCAAAAGTGAGGTATATTTGGGGTGTATTCCCCAAAGTGGATTGCTGGGTCACGGGAAATGAATGAACCGTTTTATGGCTCTAGCTGCATACTGCCAGATTGTCTTTAGAAAGACTGAATTAATTTAAAGTGCCACCAGGAACTATAAATGTGCCTTCTAGCCCACAAGGCTGCCAACATTGGAGTTTATCATTTTAATTTATTTATGCGGCTTTAATATAGATATGTAAGGGTCCTTGGTTGCCCACGTTTACATTTCGGTGATTGCTAGGATGTCATAAGTTTATCCATGTGATAATTACCTTTGTAATTAATTACTCATGTTGTCCTCTGTCTCAGCTGTTGGGTGGAATTTATGTTAACCTCATTTGCATTCATTCGTTACATTTTTGGTTATAAGCTTTTGTTAGCTGTGTGTGGCACACATTTTTATGTTCTACTTTTAACATTATATTTAATAACAAAAATTGAGGTGAGTAAATTCTTAAACCCCCTCTTTTTTGTGTCCGAGAGTGTCTTTGGTTGTCATTGGTTTTGTTTTAATAGTCAGAAATGGATCTCTTTACAGTCGGGCTCAACCGACTATTCTGACGGCTTTGAATTTTATGCTTGATCTTTTTAACGTCAGGTTAGCTGACTTTTCTGGTCTCGAGCAGCACGTTGGTGGTGGAAACTGCGTCAGTGTGTTCTGCGGGGTGTTCATCCATCTTGCATGAGTAAAGGATTGTATGGCCAGTTCCCAAAAAAGTTTGGGAAATGCCGGATTCAGCGAAGTCACTATTTTCTGCAGACCTCCTGCGGAGCCTCCTGGAGCCACAACAGGCTAATATGAATTGTGCCTCTGGGAGGGCTGCCATCAGGAGTATTTCCTAAACTTTTAGGCCAGGGGTTGGTACACTTTATCTGTAAAGAGCTAGATAGTGTTTTTTTGGCTTTGAGGGGCATGTGGTCTCTGTGGAAACCGCTCAACTCTGCTTTTGTGCTTTGAAAGCAGCTCTGGGCAATACCTAAAAGAATGGGCGTGGCTGTGTTCCAATAAACCTGGATTTGTGGACACTGAAATTTGAATTTCAAATTTTCATGTGTCACAAAATTTTATTCGTCTTTTGATTCTCACCCCAGCCACCCACCCCCACCCCCACGCCCCTACGCCCGCAACTATTTAAAATGTAAAAATCATTCTTAGCTCGTGGGCTATAAAAAAGCAGGGGACTGGGCTATAAAAAAGCAGGAGACTGGCGGGAGTTTCTTCCCCGTGTTTCAGACCCGAGAGCATGAGCATCCTGTTGGACCAGGTCAGGGAAACTCATTCTGGGACATGCTTGCTGAAATTCTGCTGCTCCATCTGTCTGAAGTACACTTTATTGAAAGTAAATCCTTTCTCCTCTCTTGTGTTTTCTCGTTTGCTATGTATTGTTTACACGTTAAACCTTTTTTCAAGTGTCAGTTGGCCCTTGTTTGTCTCTTAACTCCTCACCGTGCACTCTGTATTTTGTTTTCTGTTTTTTGCTTTTTGTAGCATGCTCCAAGGCTAGTAGGGAATGTTTTAGGATTACAGCTTTCTAAAATCTGGTATCTTTTTAAAATTAAAAAAAATTTTTTTTGTTACGTTTTATTTATTTATTTTGAGAGAGAGAGAGAGAGAGAGAGCATCAGCAGGGCAGGGGCAGAGAGAGGGAGAGAGAGAATCCCAAGGAGGCTCCATGCTGTCAGTGTGGAGCCCAATGTGGGATTCAAACTCCCGAACCTTGAGATCTTGACTTGAGCCGAAATCAAGAGTCGGACGCTTAACCGACTGAGCCACCCAGGCGCCTCTAAAATCTGGTGTCTTTGATGCACTTCTCAGGAACTGGACATTTGCATTTTAATTGGGGTGTTTTAGGAGACTGTCTAATCCCAAGGCAATGAAGCTACCATATAGTAATGTGATAAGCAGAAGGAGTGATGATTAAAATAACTACAATATCCGGGGGGCTGACTTGTGTCTCGCGTGTTACACCTGCTTTATCTGTATTAACAATGAATCCTGAAAACAGTCTTGGGAGAGTAGTTCTCCCCATTATACCGATGGGGACACGGAGACACAGGTTGGGTCACTCGCCAAGATCCTACAGCCGGGACCTGGTGGAGTCAGCCTGCAGGGCACACGCCAGGCTAAAATAGGTCTTGTTTATGCTCTCCTGCCGGGACCGTTGCCCTGGCTGGCGTTGTTAGTGTTGCCTTGGTTTATATGAGGATTCTATAAATGCTCAGGGAGCGCAGAAAAGTGTTTCCCCTAAACCTTGACCACTGTCTTGTTTATAATGTGGCTTCCCCATGTAGGTGAGGGTCCTGGCCCACGGAATTAGCCACTGGCCTAGATGGAAGGAGCTGAAATCTGTGGTCCAAGGACTCAGTGCTGGGTGCGGGCACTCCTCTGCATTGCAGGTTCCAGGCCAGACAGCATCTGGGTTAAGTTGTGCCTGTGTTTTTCCTTTTCCCAGTATGCCCTGAGCTCGCCTCCTTCCAGCCCTGGAGTCAGCACATTCTAGCCTCGGTGTTTCTTTATATTCGCCGACGTTAACAGCAGCCCTAGCAACAGAAGACCTTTTTAAGGCAGCGTAGATAATAGGGAATGCAAGAAGCTGACCAAATTTATATAACATACCTGGGAACAGATCTGTGTTTTGTGGAAGCTTTGTCCTTGCAGCTTTCCTCTTCATACCGTTCTTTTTCCCCTTCAAATTTGGAGAATTCCCAGCAATGTCTGCTTCTTATAAATTTGATGTGACTCTCATAATAAAATGGTCAGAAATTCTGGGGGTGCCTAGCTCTGCCTGGCTTTTGCCTTTTGAGCATCATTTGGCAGGCTTTATGGTCACCATCTCAGGAATAACTTGCTTGCCTTGTCTTTGTTAGAATATCACAGTAACTGAGATCCCTCTTAAAATAATAGTTTGACGTGCCATTAAACATTTTCTCTAGCAAACTCAAAAGCAGTCTTCCTGCTTGCCAATTGTGAATAGGCAGAAGTCTGTCACTGCCTTGAGCTTACTCATTTTCCATGAAAAATTACTGGAATTTGATCCAGAGCAAGAATGGCATAAATACATTGTACAGGTAAACCGCAGGGGATTTTCTTTCCCGTTTGTTTGAAGGATGAGGTCATGGGATAAGACTTGTTCAAGATTTATAAACATCAGCAATCTGACCTATGTTTGCACATCTGGGTGCTTCTGGTCCTCAGTCTCATCCCAGTGCCCTAGAGGAGAAGTGACAACAGGACCGGTGTGATGTGGGCCACCAAGGTGAGTGTGGCAGCCTTGGGGGCCTTTACAGCTGGTCATTTTGGAGCTGCCTCTTTCCTCTTTTGCAATTTGGTTTATCCTGGGGTTTGCCTTTTGGCTACTCATTAAGCATTTATAGCACTCCCACATCCTGTACGGTGAGGGTTGGTACACTGACATTTGGTTATTTATCCATTATGGCCGGTGAAATCAGCATCCCGGATAAATGAAAATTTCCCAAGAACTGAAGTTTCGACTAGGGTGGAACATAAATAGTTTCTGAAGAATAATCTCATTATACCTCTCACAAATCCAAGTCTCACATTACTGTGATTTTTTTTTTTTTTTTTTTTTTTTATAAAAGGAAGAGGGATGTTTTAAATTCTTTATGACATCTGGTTGTCCTCGCAAGCGCCCCGCCCAACGTAATTCTTGTACATCAGGCATGGTTCTGTTAAAACGGTGATGTGTCCTTAGTGTCTTTGGAGGTGAAACAGACTGTGTGCCCGCCCACCGAAGGCTGCCAGACTTGGATTCTGATGGCTACATTGTGGAGGCCTTTTGGTTTTCTCACGTTGGCTCTCATACCTGTGCTCCAGCAGCCGCTTCTGTACCA